GAATAATTGCTGCAACCAAAACAATAAAGATTGGTAACGGTTTCTTTCTTAATTCCTTAAAAAAGTTGAAAACAAGAAAGAGAAAGAAAGTGAACCTTGATGAGTAAGTTTCTCAGTGATGAGTTCACGATCCATATTACACTGAATGATTAGAGCTCTCAGATCTTCTTTAGAAAAGCCAATGCTCTCCATGAAGCTCTTCAACGATGGTCCAATCTCAGATTTTGCAGCGTCGTTCTTCTTCTCCATTATCTGCTCCCACTCTTTCTAAAACACTTTCGCGCTTCGATGCCTTCTTTTTGTATACTTTTATTTTCCCTCCCTTTTTTATGTTTGTTATTATCGTTAACTAATTACTTTTGTTGCTTAATCAGCTGTCACTAATATATGTTTGTTATTCTCGTTTACTAATTACTTTTGTTGCTTAATTAGCTGTCACTGATAACTACTAACTAATTATACATATTAATACCAGGATTTTGTTAACGAGTTTAAGTATTTAAAATATAATAAATATTTTATTTTTAATAAAATTTTATTGTTAAGTAGTTAAATTTAATTCTAAATATTTTCTTCCGAGATTGATATTGCTTAACAAGATGATATGCTTATTATGCTGTATTAACAATTGTTTTAACAAATTAATGAATGCTATGATTTTCAGTACATACAATAAGATCTACTTTACATTAATGGATACAGCATGAACATTAGACATAAGAACATATACCCACTGGCATCACTTGGATTCAACTCACAGACTCTTTGTGCAACCCGTTTTGCAATCTGTACATTCCCATGCTTCCTACAATATGACACCAAAGATCCCCATATGATAGCATTTAGCTTTACAGAATACCCTTTATTAGTTCTATTGATTGCTCAATCTCCTACTTATTCATCATTAGTGCAAAATAGTCCCTTACTTTATCTGTTGCTCCCAAATGTTTACAAGCTGTTAAAACAGTAATCATAGAATTCCTAGTAACTTGGAAACTTGTAGGCATGCTACCAAACAACCTCCTACATTCATCTATTTCCTCACACTTAGCAATACCATAACAATCATTGAATTGCAAGCTACCAAGTATCATCAAGTTCCATGTTTCATCAAACACTCTTCTAGCTTCACTGAATTGCCCACTATTAGCATAAATGCATAAGACACTAATACGGATAAACCAGTCCCTTTCAAGACCCAATATTACAACCATCCCATGAAGAAGCACAGAAAGTGAGGACACTAATATTCTTGCAAGACCAGCTTTTTATGATGTAGGGACAAATGTTTTGGAAGTCTTTAAGTGTATGTGGAGCATGGTTGGTGAGAGATGAACTTTGATATGGAGGGTAGTGATGATGGAGAAAGTTGAGAACAAAGAGTTGACATTGTTTATGGTCCTTGTGGATAACAAGGTTAGAAAACTGTGAAGAATCTACAAGAATCACGGACTAACTACCTACAAATTATGAGTGGACACCACACACTCCTTTTGTGCTGGATATTGATATATGTTTTTTTATCCAAAGAAAAAAAATAAAAAATATTTAAATTGTACACATAGCAAGATTTTTATTTATAATTTAAATTCCTAGATAGATTGAGTTTCATATCTTGCATGAAAGAGACCTCCAGGTATACACACTGCATTGCAAAAACATGGTGAGAACCTCTTACATTTCTCATGATAGGATGTCAAAAGAAGGAAACTATAATTAGAACCAACATCTTGAACAAGGTTGAATTTATTCTCCGGGTTCAAAGCCATGATCAGCTTCTTTAAATGATTGATGATGATTAATTATTACATCAACTTTCTGTAGAAATGCCGCAGTTATCTCTTTCATCATTTGTTTGATAATGTATGGAATGGAGAACAATGATAAATTGAGGGTTGTGTGTGTGTGTTTGTTTTTTTTTTTCTTCTCATTTTTAATCGATATTTTTTCATTTATAATTATAAAAATTTTAATTTTTTTTCTTTACTTTTCTTTTAAGAATTTTCAAAAGAAAAAATAAAAGCTTATTTTTATCATCTTGTTCACAGTACACAAGACATAATAAGATGTAATATGAAAATAAAATAATATTTTATCATGATAAATAAATTATAGTATTAAGGCGCATTTTTATTTTCATTTAATAAATCTTCATAATAATTATAAAAATGTTATACTATATTTCATTTAAGAACTTATAAAGTAAATAATAAATATAATAAAATTTTCTTTTCACTGTTTTAATAAAACTTTGCAAATAAAAGATAAGATAAAATTAATATAATATTTTACAATTATCAATCAAATATCAATTAAAAATTAAAAAAAGAAAACAAACATATATCCTAATATTATCATTACAGAGACACCATATCTGTCAGAAGAACATGAGAAATATCTGTAAGGGCTCCATTAAAATTATCATTTGAGGCATTGGAATTATCACTATGACCCATATTAATTTGTCACATAAATTGCCCTTACGGTACTACGATGTATTAAGATAGAATGTTATTTTTTTATGCCTTCGCATTAATAATAAGATATTTTGATTGAGATATTGAAATCGAATCCACAAGGAAACAGAACTTAATAATAATAAAAGTAAATTGTATTTTCAGAAAATTTTTATTTGTAGTATTAAGAATTTAAATAATGTAATCGTTATTATAAAGAAGACTTTATTTAACAGTCACACTGATCCGACATTACAACTACAGACGGTTGTATGGTCGCAAAGTAAAACTATGTAACATCGTACAAATACTATAAAAGAATAGCATTTATTTATAAATAAATAATGTCATTCATTTTTTGGATTTTAGGATTTAAGATAAAAATATATATACTTCTAATTCTCTCTCCAAGTTCCATAACAATAGTAAAAAAATGGAGTAATATTCAAAAATTATTTCATCAATAACATTTTTAATAATAAATTTATTAAAGTTGCATGACTTTATTATCTATAATTTGTATATGAATTTCATTATGTCATGTTGCTTATTTTAATTTTATACAACTTAAGTAACTATTTCTTTCAATGGTATAATTCTAAAGGACTCCACACATCACTTCAGTTGAGGTTGAAGTGTTAACAACGGTTGTTGATACAAATAACTATTTTTATATACAATTTTCACTCTAATTAGCTCCAATAGTGTAACCCAATTTAATACCCTTATTTACTTGTTTAAGTATTCTAAACAACTTATATTACTAGGAACTAAAAAGGGTCCCTCATTATATGATACCCTGTATTTGTTTAATTTTTGGTGAAAGATTCCATGTATATCTTTCAAATTCAATTGGTCTCTTGTACCCAAAAAAATATCAATTGGTCCAAAGTGAAGATTAGGATGGTCTGAGAAAGGGGTAGGAAAAAAAAAGTGCAGACTAGAATGGCGGCATACATAGAGCTTTAGAAGGTTACATTTGGGCCATTGGTCAAATGAATTTGGTTTCTAATCAGATGCTGATTGTCACATGGTCCACCCACATGAACGGCTATAATGTCTCCAAATTATAATAATGGCAAACAAAAGCTATGCATTTGTGGGTTCTATTACTAATTAGTTTTGAGCCTTGCCATGTTAATTACTAGTTACTAGTTGTCATAAATTTGGGATCTACCAGTCTCTTGCTCATTCATTTCTCTTTTAGCCCATCTAGAAAACTATTTTTAAAGTTACAGCCATATTAATTTCACCTTAATTTTTATCATCCCAACCACATTCTACTTACATATCAAATCACATATACTAAAGTAATGTAAAAAAAAAACATTTTTTTTATATATAATTGTGTTAAATACTTGGAAAGTTTTATTACCTGTAATAATTTAATTTGACTTGATAATAATATCATAAAAAATACTAAATAAATTAAAAAATTGAATGAAAGTTCTAGTCACCATAAATTCTTTGAAAAAAGCGATAAGTTGCAGTGGGAATTCAATGACACTAACAATTAGTTTCCTTCAAGAAAGTTTGACTTTTCTGTTGATGAACAAATATGGGACATGAGTTGGGCTGCAACATCATGTCCACCGTTCTTTACAACAAACATGGAATCAGTTAAAGGGGAAATTATGAAAAAAGATGATAGTACAATCAAATGGCAGTAATAAGTATGACACTTCTGCTCCTACACTAGAAGTCACAGTCAAACAACAACCCAACCATGTTACTCCTTCATTGAAAACAAAAATATCACAACCATAAACAATACTTTTTCATTTTCCCTTGATGTAGGAACATCACTGTGTATAGACAAGACACAAAAATATAAGAGAAACAGAGTTTTTTATATAGAAGTTCTATTAGGAAAGAAGGTTGATTACAATGTCTCTTTTATTCTCCCATTTGCAAATAAGACATTGGCAATTTTAATTTTTCACATAATCTAAGACACCAACGACAATATGGTTGAATTGTACCTAGTACTGAGTAAGTGACAGATTCCAGGGCATTTTATATTTTTAGATTTATATCCTGCTAAGAATAAAGAGAAAAAAGAAAAGAAGAAAAAGAAGAGGAGAAGAAGTAGAAGAACAAGTCACACACAGCAGTTAAAAGAGAAGAAAAGAAAAAGGCAAAATATACACATCAGCACCATCATGACAATCATCACTTACATGCTTACATACACATCCTATATTCCAAACAATTATTTCTTTACTTCTTTTTTAACCTTTTCCCTCCTTTTTGTTGCTTGCACCCTCCAACACTCTCCCACACACCACACCCCATCTTTGCTTTCACAATTCCTCTCCTTTGTCTCTCACAACCGCACACATAGTCTACCACTACCACTATATATAAACATATACTTTTAGTTGCATCATTAGCCCACAAAACAAACATCTTCCCTTTCTTTCTCTAGATCATTTACCATCTCCAGTTTATATCATCTTCCTTTCTCCTTCATTGAACTACTATAACAGGAAACCACATTGAAAAAGAAGTAAAGAGAGGAGCAGAAAGTGTCAAAGAAGAAGAAGCAGAATAGTGAGATTAAATATGGAAAGGAGTGTAATTTCCTATGTAATATTTCTCCTACTGTGCCAATTCCTCTATTCAGGTAATTTCCTTTCTCTAGTTTATTCTATGCTTCTTCTATCTTCCCTTTTGTTTATAATTTTGGTTTTATCTCTTCTGGTTATATTCTGATATGTTTAGCTAGCTCAGTTGCTTCTGGTTCAAGATATTGTTTCTTAATTCTTACTATCTTTGGTTCTCATTTTTCTTCAGTTTTCTGTTGCTTCCCTTTGAGTTCTTTATCTTTTGTATATATTCTGTGCTTTTCTCTTTAATATTCTTTTGAACCCCTTGAATATGTTTTGAATTCTGAAACCACAAAACGCTTTTCCTTCTCTTAAGTTTAGCATTTCAATTGTTTTATTCTCTTCTAGTTTTTTAGTTCAACTAGTATGGATATACATGTTGAACTAATTGGGTGCAGTTCACTTTTGTTCTGTTTGATTTGTCCATAGTCGGAATACAGTTTACTAGTTGAGTTCCTTTTGTGTCCATGATTTTTTTTTCTTTTTATGGATAGAATTTTCCTTGATCAAAATATTGTCTCTTCTATTATTCCATTAAATATTCCCTAAAGCAATTATAGAGCCATGCCATTGAAAAAATTGAACAAGTCCTTTTCTAGCTCATCTTTCTGGGGTTTCACATAGAGCAGTTGCATCCAACCTTTCTCCAGTTCCACCGTTTCTTGAAAAGATACAAAGGGCCCAACTGCTTTGACTCATATATGGCTCTCTCTGTGCATAGGGTACCCTACCTGTCTTTAGTTGTCCATCTAGATGCACTATGCCAAATTGTAGGCTTTTGAAACAGTGGAGTGGTTTAAGGGCCTAAAATATAATAATTAGTTAAGTTAAAATTTCTCCCACTTTTTTATTGAATAGCAAAATAGTTTTGGTTTTCACACTACAATGTGGAATTCATAGGCACAATTTGAATCCAGCTACCCTTTTTTAGGCCCCCTTTAAAAAAGAAAAGGCCTTAAATTTATTTCAAATCTTTGTTTGATTTCTCTCTTCACATGCTTTAGACAGAGTACAGAACAAAGTAATTCAATTGTCATTTCAAATACAGGTTCAAGTAGGACAGAAAAGGAAGCACCTGGACATGTGAATGTACTAGAACAACAACAAGGGAAACAAAAATTCACTGCCTCAATTTCAATTTCTACAGTGCAAAAGGATATTACCACTCCCATCACTACCATTCCCAACTTAGTTCCCACCATCCCCACCATTTCAACACCACCATTCCTTAATCCTAATTCCAACCCTGACACAGTTTCTCCTGCCTCCACACTCCCAGTTACCACTCCAACCCCAGTGAATTCTCCAATTTCTTCAGGTGCAAGCTGGTGTATTGCAAGCCCAATTGCCTCACAGATTGCTTTGCAAGTTGCATTGGACTATGCTTGTGGCTATGGTGGTGCTGATTGTTCAGCAATTCAACCTGGTGGAAGCTGTTACAACCCAAATTCTATCCATGACCATGCTTCTTATGCTTTCAATAAGTATTATCAAAAGAATCCTGTTCCAAATAGCTGCAATTTTGGTGGAACTGCTGTCATCATTAGCACTAACCCAGGTAAGGCTTTTGCTGTTACATGCATTCAGAAATATTATGTTACATGCAACATTTTCAATGATGTTACATGCATTTTAAATTTAGGCTGTTAACCTCAATCCTCAATCCTTGGGACTGAATTTAAACATTTTAAAAAAATATGAAAAAAATGCATTTTTATTATTTTAAAATTATGAAAGTACAATAAATATTTTTTAATAAAACTTTATTATCATTAATTGTTTATCCTTTATCTTAAGACTGAAATTAACAAAATTCTTTAAATTTAAAGCAAGTTTCAAAAAATGGGGATGTTGTAGGATAAGTTGAGAATGTAAATAGAAATTGCGAGTTGTAGGGTGTCTTTCGTTGGTTAATCGGACACATTCACTGCTTGATTGTTGGGTTCTATTTTGAACAGAAAAAAGAGAAACTTTTTTCATATTTGAATGGGCTTTGTGACATGGGTACGTAGGAGCTACAAAACTGCCACATGAGTGATGCGAAAGTCAACTTTTTTTCTTCTTCTACTTTTTGGAATCATCGTCTCAAAAGTCTCCTTCATCGGTCACAAAGATCTAGAACTATTTCTGTTCATCACAATTTTTTCATAAATTCTGCATAAATAACTAGTAATATGAAGATGTATGAATGAAAAAGAAGAAAATAATAGTTAAATTAAGTCACTTGAACTCAACGCAATAACATCAACCAATGCTTTGGACAACAATTATGAATTATCGATTAGGATTATTCACGGAAGAATAATTATTTTCTAAAAAATATTTTTTTAAATAACTATATATATATATATATATATTCTTCTTTTAATATTTTTTTTCTGTTGGGATGACCAACTTTTTTATACTAATTATAAATTTGTAAATACACTGTGACATGTCAATTTTTATAATAATATTTTTTGTCCAAAAACATCTTTGTAGTTTTTACAAAACCAATGCATCTATCTTTGAAGTTATGTTATTTGTACCACTACTTTAAACATTTATACTGTATATTTATACTTATCATATGCATTTATATTTTTTTCTCTTTCTACACATCACATCAAAACTTAAAAAAAAGAAAGAGAGAGAGAGAGAGACATCATATGGTATTTTTGTGTAATTTCCTGTGCGTGCACGCTTTGCTTTTCATGTAATGTTTTATTTTTGGTTGTTGAGAACATTTGATGAATGCATTTACTTGTTTTACAGGCACAGGGACATGTCAATATCCATCCACTAGGTGGTGATTTTCTTACCACATATATCTGCTTTCATTTGTTATGTTGCTTCAATTGGAACAAAAAAACATCATATTAACTTAGTGTCTAAAATTGCAGTACTAGTACGTCAATCTTGAACACAACAAACTCAAGTGGTGCAAACGTTTTTGGTTCAGTGCCAGTACCCACAAGCCCCTCTCCCTCTGCTGCTGCTGACACATTAAATAGCTTTGCAGATATTTGTGTCATTCTATGGATATTATCAACTTTGGAAAGGAATTTTCTCTAAAATGGTTGAGAGTTGGATGTTGCTGCTCTGACCAGAAAAATTTTGCCCCTCTTATGGCTTTTTTGGGAGACTGAAAAGTTATGACATACATGGTAGACACATTTTGTAGAAAGAAAAAGCAATCTAAGATGATGGACATTAGTGGAGAAATATACTGTACATACTTTTTTTAATTTAATTTCATTTGTTGATCACATTTGTTCCTTTGTATTCTTAGAAAAATAACATATCTTTGAAGTTGTGTTTATCTCTTGAATTATATAAATTAGGATCATTTTTTATTGTTAAGACTCTAAAGTGTAGTTTAATCTTAGAATGTTAATCTTTTACTCACAGACAAACAATTTTTTTCATGTTTTACTTCAAACACAAAATAGAAACATGAAAAGCAAATATTAATGATTGCCTATATACATTGATAGAACAATTTGAACCACTAAAGTAGTTTTTCTTCCATAAGTTAAATGTTCTAGCACATTTTTGAAATATAAACTGCATAGTATATGCAGATTGATTTAGTTCTAATTTTTTAAATTAATTTTATAAGATTATTGTTGGCATCACTGAAGAGCAGTATATGTAATGTATAGTGGTGGGGGTGAAATTGTGTTTCTCACCATGGGAATTTGTTCACATGCCATGTACTAGAGATACCCCAATACCATAGGTCCCCCATTCATTGTGGCTTACTAGTACTTTGTACCCACAGTAATAATTGAAATTGAGTTGCTTCATCACTTTGGTAAATTCCCACATCTTCAACTGCATGCAGAGCATGAGGAAGATGAACAGTCCCATTCCATCTTCCAACCACTCATTACCTTTCTCAGCCACTACACAACCAACAACCCTCTTTACCTTTACAAGCAATAACCTGCACTACCTTCAAGAAACACACACAACATCTGTCATTTTTAATTGAAATATATTTTTTATATAAAAGATTATTATATCAAGGAGAATTATTGACTTTTATGATAATTAATTTAAAACTCATATTTATTATATGCTCTAATTGGTTTATAGTATAAAAATGTCAATTTTAAACTCATAAATAAATGTATTTTTCTTGTGTAAGGAATACAAAAAAAATATGGTACAAAATACTCTTTAACAAAAAAAAAATTAAAACAGTTGGATGAAAAATGATGCATGCAGTGAAGAGTCACACACAAAGAAATGAGCAGCTGAAAAATTTTATCCTTTAGAATTTTTATGTTTTTCTATCCGTGAAAACATGAGATTCTAACATTTATCCCTCTTTTTTCTTTATAGTTCGTATATTTATTATTATTATTATTATATATAAGGTTTTTTTTTTTTCAAAAAGTGTTAATTAATGTTAAAGAAAACAAATGGGCCCATATATCATATCTCACTTTCGTTGTGCAGTTACGCAATACGATTCAATAAGGGATAAGGTTGCGTTTGTTGAATGGCTTAAAAATGGAATGGACTTGGGTTCAATTGGGCCTTTATTTTTTACCAAAAATCATAAACTCTTGCCTGTGACTTTTTTTTTAAGCTGCATATATTATTATCATTCTTTGACAACCTAAGGATTCTTAATTTTGAAAAATGGGTTTCGAAGTATAAATCAATAGTTAATTAAGTCAATTTATGGAAAAGATAAAAAATGTTACTTTTTTTTTTTATCGAAAATTAAAATTGATTTAATTTTTTTCGAAATAGCTAAACTAATGTACTGGGCAGTTAGAAATAAACTGCATAAGTTAGAGTTTAAAGATTTAACAATTTTTATTTGTTTTTTAAATCTCAAAAATATTATATACATACGGACACACGTGTAGAGAGAGATACGTATACGCGTATATAAGTTTAATTTAATATATTTTATTTTATTTTTCTAACACTGCAATGGAGTGTATTTTTTATTATTTGTCAAAATAAAATTGTGTAATAGAGTATTAGTTAATTTTAAATTGACGAAGTTTTATAGACTTATTCTATTTGATGAGAAATAATATTTAAATTGATAAAAACTAATATTTACAAGAAAAAAAAAGGATTTTTTTATAAAAAATTAGGCACAATATATATATATATAAAATTGTTCACATTAAATCTCTCTTATTTTTTAAATATTTAAGTTATCCACTCTAAAATATTCAAATTAAGATTTTTAACTTTAAGTTCAATTTTTTATTTAAAATAATTATATTTATTAAAATTTAAACTCGATACTACAAATTAATTTAAAATAAAGGTCTATTAACTGATTCATGTGTTTGATGGTAGAATGTTTAATTAAATATATTGTAAATATTTTTTTATTTGTTTATACAAATTAATAAAATATCATATCTCCACCATGTTTATACTGATTATTGAATAAAATTTTATAATAAAAGTGTTAATTTAATCATTAAAAAAATTAAAAAGATTAAATTTGAATAATTAAAATTAAAAAAACTAAAATTACACGTATATTATATTAAAGTGTAAAAATAAAAAACACAATTAAACTTACATTATATATATAAAAAGAAGTTAATTTTGAGTAATATATAATTATACAACATAGATTATAAAAATATTTGTATCCATTTTGATTACGTGGTTAAGATTTAACTCTTATATTATGAGCGATAATATACCAAAACTAGGAAGAAAAAAGAAGATAAATTTGTGGGTGTCCCTGAATTGCAACTAACATAATAGACTATTTATCATATCAATTGTTGGTTCTACGAACTAGCAGCTAATAACAGATAACTGACTTCATAAATGTGACAAAGACAAATACATATCCTTATTATACGTTTAATTAAACTTTAAGATTATAAGAAGGTGAAAAGCTCTATTAAATATCTACATTATGTTGTTTATCAGAAAAATGCATGACCATTAGCAAAGGTGTACAATAAGATTAAAAATATGTGGCTGTTCTATAGAGTTTGACTATTTCCAAAGAAAGTACATTCTTGATGATGACTATATTGATTCAGTTTGGCCCATGCATGGGAGCAACGTTCTCTTCATATTTATGTCTTCACAATGGTTGGTAGGTTACCAAAACCTTGGCAATGCTTTAATTAATATTGTAAAAATGCCTAAATATTACAACTTTTAATGTTGTTAAGTTAGTTAAACATTGTTTTAAAGTGTATAAAGAACAAATAATACAAATTTATATTCCTTCTCTTTCTTTTTATCTATCACTTAAGGTTATTTTACATAGTTTAAGAAAATTAACTAATGTCTAGTTTGTATAAAAATTATTATAAAAATTTTAATTTTATCCTTCTTTTCTCTAATTAATTACTATTTTTTATTTATTACAGTTTGTAAAGCGTAAGAGTATAATGAGACAAACTTAATAAATGATTTCTTGAATTTCTAAAGTGATAAATAAAATGAATTTTTTTAAAAAATGATGATAGATAAAAAATAAAAAAAAAGAGAAAGTGTATAGTAAGTTTTCATTGAAAATCATAAAATGAATTTTTAGTTAAAATTTATTGTTTTCTATTTTTTATTATATATCTTTAGACATATATTAAAAAATATTAATTAAATGCGTATTAACAAAAAGTTAAAAGATTAATTTCCAAAAAAAGAATTATACACTGAAAATGTGTCAACATTAAGCCCCTGTCCATATATCTAAAATTGTAGCAGACAAGATTATTTACATAAATCCTGCCCATGACTCATTAATTCCTTGAATCAATAAAATTAATGTGTCTACCTACCTGTGAATGATGAGTATATTTTGTAATGATAATGGTAAATGAGTGAGAGAGGAAACAGAGAGAAGCCTGTAACATTTGACAATATGTGAGATATGCCAATTATTTTCATTTATTCCAATTTTCACTTATAGTAAACATTATCATTCTTAAGCTAGAAGAATGATATCATTCCAATTTTCACTTCTTACATGTGAATATATAATTATTTTAGACACATTTCCTAGAACATTTTTTAAGAAGTACATTTTTTTACACTATGATGTAAAGGTACCAAAAATAAAGTTCACTCTTAATTTCATCAAAATTATGTAAACTCATGGTCCCAAGTAAAGTCTAGTCCTAATTACTTTGAAGAAGCAGTGCCAGTGTACGTGAATACGTTTGATACTGTCATTCCCTTAACATTATCACAATGAAAAATGTCATATCCAACAAGAACAAACAAGACCATAAATTAATAAAGTAACAAAAATAAAATTAAGTGTACAAAACAAGGTAGAATTTCAGAATAGTATTAGGGGAATCCAAACTTCCATATGATCAACTCCACTTATCCTCTTTTACAATACCTTCAGTCCTTGCTAGCATCATGTACTTATCTCTCCTTGTGAGTGTGGTACACTCAAATCCCAAAGCATTAGCTAACTGTTTCTGTATATAGTTTGCAACTTCACAGCTTGGTCTTCCTCCAGCACATGTAAGTTCTTTAGGAACCTTTCCAAGAATATGAATGTAATAGCTAGGCCTTGGATTCATGAGAAAGAAAATAGGGTCTAAGCATTTCAACCCACTAGCAGTGGTCCCATAGAACATGCTCACATGAGCATTCACAGCCACAGGCACAATCTCATCAGCCAATTCTGCAAACAGTGAGCTGAACCTTAATAAATATGGTTCCCTGCAAGTTGTTCCTTCAGGACACACCACCAAATCACCCTCTCTTAGAAGCCTTTGCATGGTTTCACCATCTTGTTTTCTGTCCCTTGTTAGTCTCACTGTTCTAATAGGGGCTATCAATTCTGACACCTTGCTTAAGCTATATGTGACTGCAGTCAAAGGCTTAGCCAAGCATGTGCTAAGGAAAACAGGATCAAGGAGAGTCCTGTGGGAGCAAACATAGAGGACCCCTTTGTTTTCCTTTGATTTTTCAAGGCTACAACCTTTGACATGCAAATCTATGCCACTCCAAACTCCTAATGTCATTGCCCATCCATATGGAAATAAAATACCCAAAAGGATTCTATAAATGGCCAAAAGAATTCCAATTGGAAGCCACATAAACATGTAGAGAGTTGCTGAGGGAGTAGGCAGGAATGCTAGTCTTCCATCATGAAATATTAGGGGCTTTGGATACTTGTCCCTTGGCATCACTGAGCTTGAATTGTTCTTGCCCTCTTCATTGTTCAACACATAAGATTCCTGTCATTATCATGCAGCTAAAATTAGTCACCATACATCAATAAATTTAATAAAAACGTGTCTATTAAATTATAACCTAAATTAAATAGATTAATTATACTATGTTGTACTAATAACAAAATTAACATGTCAAAAGGAGAAGTAATATTGTACACCTGAAAAAATTGTTTTTTTAATTTAAATGGTCCCATTTTTTTAAGGCTTGTACTCAGGGGTCTCAGTTGTAGAAAACAGTGAAATGTTACTAAAAAAAAAAAACACTGAACTCGCCAGAGTTAAACAGTGGAGCTAAGTACCTCAAGACTTACCTTGCAAAGTGAGATAAAAAGATGATCATGAACACTTGAGCTTCCGATTCCAATATCAGGCTTTCTATCTCCAAAATAATCCTTTAGTGCTCTGTGCTTGACAAGTAAGCCAGAACCTGAGAGCAAGCCACTGAAGTAGCAACCAACAGTGTGCAACTCTGTGCCCATAACAGCGCCGACACTCAAGTACTCCTTGAGAAAACCTTCTACCATAACTCTAGGCACACTTGTGAAGACAACTTTGGACCCTGCTGAAGCCAGAACCTCATAAGCATGAAGGTTGAGATTCTCTAAATAAAACTTTGGCAAAACAGCCCTTGAAACACTTTCCATGTCACTTATTCTTAGCCCACAAAAGGTGATGAAGGTCATGACCCTGAGCTTTACCTCATGGTCTAAAATCCACAGCACAGGACAAGACAAAAGCAAGAGAAATGCCCTGAAAATGCTGCCACCTTCAAAGGCAACCAGCATGAAATAAGGAAAGAAAGAGTGTGACCTTAACAAGACGCTATGAATGTCACAAGCAAGAGTTTGGGACCCTCTATCCTCCAAATCACATTTGGTTATGCTAGGAAAAGAACACGGTTGATGGGGTGGTTTTGATGACAAATAGCCCAAATGAAACCCATAACTTTTCATTTTCCTTGCTGCTCTATAACATGAGTTAGCAAGCAACTGATACAAGACCCAATCTACAAGCCTTAGGAGCACCATTGGGAACACCATGCTAACTCTTGCAACTTGATTGATGATGTGTTTGTGAAGGAATAAGACTCAAAGGGTCAAGAGCAGTAAATGGAAGAAGACTAAGGTTATGTGTATCCGTGGTGAAGAGAAAGTGTGCAGAGAATATTTATAGAGTCATTAAAAGGGTTCAGAAGAAAAGTTTGATTCTAGCATTTGGTTAACCACACCGCTGGCATTAATTTCACCTTTCACAATTTTATTGTCATTTGTTATGATTTTTTACATTGGCCATTGCATTTTCTTTCATGCAAATGCACTCTACATGGTGCCAGATAATATTTGCTTGGCTACTGACATAAATACAGTAGGTAGGTTAAAATGTTGGTGACCGCCTTTGAGAGGCTATGGAATTGGTAGTATTTTTGAAAACTTGGCCCATGCACACACTGTACTACCAATTTTTAATGACATTGGAATGTGTGTATCCCTTTGAAATTAACCCTTTCGTCAAACAAATTTCCATTTTCTCTTGCCTTCTTCTGTGGATATAACCCAATGGTGAGTTAGATCACCCACATCATCCAATCAATTGACTTTTCAAAACCCATTTTTATAATCATCCCTAGTCAAATGCCTCCTCTCAATGAAAATTGTCGTTGACTTTAAGCTAAATTCTGAAGATTGAAGCTGTTCCATCAAATTCTTTTTGTAATTATTAGCTAAATTATATGTGAATTTCATTATAAAATATGTGTTAGAAAAAAAAAATGTTGCATGGTACTACTCCATTAACCATTTGACTTTGTTTTGTCATGCTGTCTACGGCTCTACACATTCCCAAGGCTATCATCGATCATACACATTACATGAAGAGGGACGGTTATTGGGTTTCATTTTAATTAATTGCTTAATTAATCTGCTGTGACGGAAATCGCAGCTCTCGTACTGATTAATTAGAAATAAATTTGTGAAGTATATTATAGAACCCAGCAAATAGATCAAGGCTGAATGAAGATAATTAAACAATTCAGAAAAACCATACTCTTTATAAAATACTACACCTGATATTCCATGCGACTTCTCTGCATAGTTCGAATGGATCTTGATAACAAGTGTTTAAAATGCTTGTTAATTAAAAATCATAATTCTGAGGGTATGTTAATATTTTTTATAATTTTTATTTCTTAATAAGTGAAGGCATTTGTTAGTGTTTGTATATTCTACTAAATTGTATATCTTATTTAACCAGTGTGATTGTCGTTCTTTATACTTCTGAGTTTAGTTAAGGAGAGTTTTAATGATGTTAGTTTAAAAAATCAATAAACTATCAAATGACACATTTTTGAATTTTTTTTTTTTTCAATTTCTTAATAAACACTCTTAAGATATTTATTAGCATTTTCTACTTCTTTTACGGCTACACACTATACACATGAGTAGTTTTATTTGTGACTTCAACTTAAATGAAGCCGTGTTTATGATAGTAATAATATGGTGTTGATTGTTGTTGAGAAGTGAGAAGAATTTAACCAAATAATATTAAGATTTTGTCCAAAATGTAAAGACATGCCTTTGGTACAAAATCTTTAAAAATCTTAAGTATGGAACTTCTTTCTTTTTCTTTTCTGTTTGTTTGTGTGACGATTAGTTCACCAATTCATGTCACCCTCATTTTGTAGTTTGGTGAACCCTTAATCATTTGATATGGCTGTTCAATGCACATAATTTGCATGGAAGCATTAAGAAGATTCACAAATCTATAGCTTCTCATTTCTGTTTTCCCTTGTGTTTCTTTCGTAAATAAATGACAATGCATGCACGTTTCATTGAATCATCTTCTACTCACATATAATTAATATAGTTATTTGGTTATAATATATTTCAGGTGAATTCACTTGGATAAGGCCACCGTTGCCACCTATCTATTTTTCACCATAGTTTTCTCATAGAATAAGAAATGTACATTTAAACAAAGGATACACACAAAAGTCAATATAGACTTAATTAGCATGCAAGCAAGAAAGAGGCATAAATGATGGGGGGAGGGGAAAGGGTGACGAAAAGAAGAGAAATGAAAAGTCCATAAATGTATCATAAATGAATCTTCTAATTAAATAACAAAATACTAATTTAAAAGTTAAGTTACATTGATCAAGCTTCAAGTAAAAAAAAATGACATTATTTTAATTATTATTAATAGGATTGTTATTAATGAACATTCGTTGACTTCCTGTTTAAGTTTACTCCAAATCAAACTCATTTATTTCAACTAACTCAGTAAAGTTCATTAACTCTTGTTCGACAACAATAATAGGATGTTAGGCTTGGCAAATAGTCTTTTAATTAATCACGAGTCACTAGTTAACATTTATTTTTAATTTTGTTTATAAAAACTTTTAATACTATTAAGACACTGGTTATTATTTAAAAGTTAAGGGCATTCAACAATTTTAGGTTCTGTTAGTTAATGGTAGAAATGTATGACAACTTAACAAATTTGAAAAATATTAATTATACAAAAAAAAACTCCTATTTTTTGTATCCACTAATGAAATAACATATAGTCTACAACTTTGATACAATTTTAAAATTGTTAATAAACATGAATAACCAATGATTTAATATCATACTTTCTAAAAATATAAATAATTGGTAATTTTTAGTTATAATTATAAAATGTTCTGTATTATGAATTTTGGAAATAGTTTTGTAGGTATGGGTAGAAAAAGTATTGCCAAAACCTTTAGATTTTATAAATAAAAAAAAAAATAAACATAATGTTGAGTCGAAACCAACCTCTTGAAATTAGATTAATCTTTTATGGGCGAAAAGTTATTATAACTCGATCGATTATCTATCCTGTTTGTTGTTATTGTATAATAAATTAAAAACAGTCAATGAAATTGACATAAATTAATTATATATTTAATTGCTTATTAGCAAATTGCAAAAAGAAAAAAAAAATCAGCAAGAGAAACTTATAATGAACAAAATTAGCAAGTGAAAAAAGAAAGTAGTTAAGAGATAGGTGCAAGAATTGATATTAATAAAGGATGCAATTAACCAAATGAAATTACCTAATTACATAATAATAATAATAATAATATCAAACTATGAAATTGTGTGTACTTGACCCACATATTAGAATTGGGTTATATATATAATTATTTCAAGAGAAGACAAAATTAGACTCAAAAGCAATATTGTTATTATCATCTTTATTTTGTTAATTACGATAGTAAATATCAAAATATTCATAATTATTGTCTAGGTGGTGAGGAAGTGATTGGAGCCTACTGTTGTCGATCCATGTTACCAAATTCCATGTAAAGCATTCCTTTTCACCATTTACACTATTTTGCCAACAAAGTTGACTCTGGATTGGTGAATTAGGGTAATATCCAAAATGACACCATTGATTAAGTTACGCTGCATAGGTTAAAAGCAACATCACTTTTATAAATGGCAATGCATTGTGTTCATCAATTATGAACGTGACAATATATTATTTCGCTTATTCAAAATTGGATTTTGCATTTTTTAATTGTTAATCGAATATAAAGTATGTATGTACAGTGAAAAAATTATATAAATATTAATAATTAAATATTATAGTGTGGTGATGATGTATTTATGGGGAAGCTGCATAGACAAAGACACTGATCCGTCGCAGCGCAACGCAATTTCAGGAGCTGACCTCACAATCACTCGCGTAAGGAGCCCTGACATCACACCACATTAGCTTCAACAGCGTCTCCATTTAAATACAAGTTAAATTCATAGATAAAATTATTCTTTCTGTTTTTAATTTTAGAATAAAATTTATTTTTGTCATTTAAATTTTTTTTATTCATTTTAATCCTTTAATTTTAAAAAAATTTTTAAATAAGTATTGTTCTATTAAAAATTCTAATTTTATTAAAAAGAAATTGACATTTTATATCTCGTGTACTGTGTATTATTATTTATTTTTCTCTCTAAATTTTTTACATTACTTTTAGTGTATCTTTTTTTTTTTCTTTTCATCTTTATCTTTTTGTTATCAATACTAAAAGTATTTATCCCTAACTCTCAAATTATAAATAACGTAATTTTATAATTTTTATTTTTATTTTTGACAAATTTAAATACATAATTATCCATGTTCTCATTTTTTATTTTATTAATTTTTTATACTACTATGACTTTGAAAGTCTTTACTAACAAAAAATATCATGTTTTGAAAGCTTAAAGTATAATATGAAAATAAACATGGATATTCTGGAGATAAAAAGTGAATATTTAGAAAGTTGATTTATTTATAATTTGAGAGTTGGTGATGAATGCTAAATGTAGGTGACAAAAAAATATAAAAAAGAGAAGGAAGAAAAAGAAGTGTTAAATATATGAAGAATAAGACACAGTTAAAAAGCGACAAATTTTTTAGCAAAATTAGAATTTTTAATAGATATATTTTAAATTTTTTTAAAAGATAAAAGTATGAAGTGAAACAAAAAGAGTTAGAAGAGGAATTTTATCTTAAAATTAAGGGGAGAAATTTTTTCTATTTTATAAAATTAAATTATACCATTAAATATAATTTAAATATATTGATAGATTATTTTAAATCATATATTTTTGTAAAATTTGTTTTACTTTAATCTTTAAAATTATATTTAAATAAATATAATAATAATTTTTTATTAAAAATATTTATATACTTTTATATCTTTAATGTAATAAATATGTATTTTAATAAAAATTAATTATTTTTAAATATTTAAATTCAATAACGTTAATAAAAATTTTAATATATAAATTATTAATATGACTATTTAATACACTGAAAGTTTAAAATACAGTATAAATTTATTATATATAAATATTTTTATGATTTTTAATTAATTAATTTAAAAAAATAAATATAATATAAAATAATAAATTTAAATTATTTATTATTTTATAATATCATGCTAAAACATAATTTAAAATAAATTAAATACCTGTTTTAGTTATTATACTATTTTATTATTCTTGAATTATATTTTAGTGTTATATTATTTTAATTCATCATTAATTATTTTACTTATATATAAAAAAGTGATAAAAGTTTAAATATAGTAATAAAGTCCAAATTATAAGTATCTAATTAAAATAAAAAATTATCATTTAATTATATATTAATATGATGTATAAGTTCAAGTTTTAATTAATATAATTATATTAAATATTTAAAAAAGTTCTGCTCGTAATAATTTTATTCAACTTCAATAGAATTGTCTTTAATAAATAGATATTAAAAAAATTATAATAAATATTATATTTATAAATTAATTTTTAACTAATTATATAAAACATAGATATAATAGTAAAAAATATACATAAACATACTGTTTTATGATTTAAAATAATTTATAATATAACGTGACTAAATGCATATTATATTAGCATTTAATGGTGAATTTTTTTATATTAAAACTTATAAGAATTAAGAGCTAGTTTTCTTTTTTAAAAACAATTTTTATTTTTAAAAATTAAAAAATTAAAAAATAAAATAAACATACTCTAAATTAAAAAATATATATAACAATATTTATAAAATTATTTAATTTGAAATCAAACTTACATAAATACCCTTAGTAGAATGCATTAAATATTTCATACATTATTAACCATAAACGACGTCAACATATTTCATTCCATTATTATATTCTTTATCTAACCTTTTTAATAAAAAAAATATATATGTTTAATATGATACGTATTAGTCGGTAAAGTCCACGATTTTAATATTTGATTGAAATTTAACTTTTAAAATAATTGTAGCAATAGTATCTATATACATTTAGTTATAAAATTACTAAAATATAACTACTAATTTTTTAATCAATAATCATAATTATATACTTTATCATTACAATTAGTTAACTTAAATAATGAATATATGAAATAAAATTGAAGTATAATTATAGTTTTTATTTTTAATTTAAACTATATGTAATCTTGATCTCTTTTATTTATTTTTAAGTTAATTCATTTTTATTTTTAAAATTAAATAAATTCAGTCCCTTTATTTTTTTATAAAAATTATTGAATTATTTTTATTTCATTTTTTTCACAAATTAAATGGTTTTCAATCATTATTTATTGAAGAGTTGTGAATTAAAATCTCAAATATAAATATTTTAAAAAATATTTTTTAAACTATAATATATCACTTCATAAAATACCATTGAATTTGCAGACAGAAAACCTTAGTAAACAGTAGCTAACGTTAGTGGAGGCGTTGAGAGAGAAAACTGAGGGATGGCAACGGAGCAAAAGAAGACGAAGAAACAAGTGAATCTGTTCTACTCCCTCCATTGTCAAGACCTTGCTCACAAGGTTGCTCATCACTGTGACCACATCATTCTCCAGAATATCACATGGAGGTTTCTTTTTCATTTTTATTATCACTTCTCTTTGCTCTTTCATTCCTTTCTCATTCTGCCTTTTCCCTTTTAAGCATGCTTCTCATGGCTTAAAGTTTCAGACTTTATTTCTGACATGTTCCTAGGATTCTGCTAACAACCACTGCTATGTTTTGATGCTTTGTTTGTGATGCCTTAATTTACTTGCATGTCGTGTTTTCTAATTATTTTTAGCTTATCAAACACTAAGGTTATCATCTTTGTGCATGTTGGCGCCTCAACACCATTATTGCAAGCAAATTACATGATGGGGTGTTTAATTTTGATACCTAGTCAATTTAAAGATTGTAACGCTGATTCTCTTTGATATGACAATTTATGATTGGATGACTGTGTCTGGATTCCAATTTAATCTCAATTAAATTTTTTTTAGACAATAAAATTGAAAAACTGATTTGATTAGTTTTTTTATGCATATTCAGGTCTTTTGCTGATGGGTTTCCAAATATATATATAAATAATGCAGAAGAGCTTCGAGGTCAACATGTTGCTTTTTTGGCTTCTTTCAACTCCCCTGCACATGTCTTTGAGCAACTTTCAGTCATATATGCACTCCCTCGTCTCTTTGTTGCTTCCTTCACATTGGTGTTACCTTTCTTTCCAACTGGTTCCTTTGAGCGAATGGAAGAGGAAGGAGATGTAGCCACTGCCTTCACCCTTGCAAGGATGCTGTCAAACATCCCAATTTCAAGAGGTGGCCCAACTAGTTTAGTCATATATGACATTCATGCTTTGCAGGTTTGTGTACATGGTCAACATAAAAATAAAAGTTACTTTTGTGTTGCATTTGGGGTGATTTAATTTAGATCCTTGTGTTGTGGATTGCTTTTATTATTATTCTTGTTATTTTAGTGTTATTGTATGTTTTTTGGCGGTGCATTTGATCACGTGCTTATGTATGAATACGATGTTTGCATACTTATGTTGCACTCCTGTTTTTCGGTGTTGTATTCATAGATTTAAGAAAGTTTTCTCAAATACTGAACATACTTTCAGAATAATAACGACTGAAAGCATCATCTCATCGACATTGTATCATCATACTCTCTCTTTTTTCTTTTTCCAACGTACTAGATGTTATACATGTATTCTTTAAATTTTCCTCTCAGCTGTTTTTACCTATAAAATTATGCAGGAGAGATTTTATTTTGGAGATGAGGTTTTGCCCTTGTTTGAGACTGGTATTCCTCTCTTAAAGCATCGCTTGAGTCAGCTTCCTGATGCTGATAATGTAAGTATTTTCCGTTCCTTGATTTCCTTCACAATCATGTTGCCTTTGTCTGTAGATACAATCTGGAAATGTTGCATTCCATCCTGAATCTTTGAAGTAATGTTGGTATCATATTTGTGACACACTGCTATACTTGCTTTTTAACATCCTGAAGTCCTGGTTGTTATTTTCAGATAGTAATTGCATTTCCAGACGATGGTGCTTGGAAGCGATTCCACAAGCAATTTGATAGTTTTTCAGTGGTAGGTTCTGTGTAAGTGTAGTTTAAGTTGCAATTCAATTTTTTTTATAGATTATCTAATTTTTTGAAGTGGTAGGTGGTATGCACAAAGGTTCGTGAAGGTGATAAGAGGATAGTTCGGCTCAAGGAAGGCAATGCCACTGGTCGGCATGTGGTCATTGTTGATGATTTGGTCCAATCTGGAGGGACCCTGATCCAGTGTCAGGTAAATGGTTCCAATTTATATATCAATATATATATATATATATATATATATATATATATATTGTCAATGAAAAATTTATGCTTTTGCATGTTCTCATCCCAAAAACACTGGCAAATGACCAGTAGGATTTTTTTATACACACACACACAAAGGAAAGTCAGAAATTTTATACACACACATTGGAGTGTTTCAGATGTGAGCATGGATGTGAAGCAACAGATAATCTTATGTGAGAATCCTAGATACTATTATTATCAAAGCATGTGTCTTGATATGCAACTTAACACTTATCTTATTTTCCTGTTGGTTTCTCCTAGAAAGTTTTGGCAGCCCGTGGTGCAGCAAAGGTGAGTGCTTATGTCACCCATGGTGTATTTCCTAATCAATCATGGGAGAGGTTCATTTCTAAAGATGGTTAGTCCTGGCACATAGTAAACACACTTTCTACATTCATACATTTTCATATATTTGAATGTTACCATTTAATTCAACATTCAGATGGCTTGGAGAAGGCATTTTCCTACTTCTGGATCACAGATTCTTGCCCACTTACTGTCAAAGCTATTGAAAATAAGGCTCCTTTTGAAATATTGAGTCTAGCTGGGTCTATTGCCAATGCTCTACAAATTTGAAGGCAAAAACATCACACGAGGGGAAAATCATGGAACTATAAAAGGGATATCCACTGCAACGTTTCCATTTTAATATTTTAAGAAGTCCCCCTGTCTAGTCTCTGTCAAGTTGCTGACATCCATTCACTTCTGCTCTATTGCTGTATGAGCTTAGTGCTGTGACAATTGTGAATTTAGTTTTAGCTCTTGACTGATTGTATGCTGAACATATTTCTTGATGTCAACTAATTTATTAGATCGTAATTCAACGCAAATCACTTATCTGAGGTGCTGACGAAGAGACATCAAAACTTTATTTCATTGTTTGAACGCGTCTGAAGTTGGTAATATATGCTAGCTTTTAAACGATTATTAAAGTTTTTAGTTCACATCAAGGAATCTTAAAAAGCTGGCAGCAAAGGAGAAACTAATGGCCGGCGCATAGTTTTGTTATAAAGACTTGTGAAAAGGTTTAAGTCTTGACTATGCATTCTTGGATTCCTAGAGCGACTTATCAACTAGAATTCAACTAATTAGTTTGGCTGACAAATCAATCTAACAGAAAAAATCAACCATTCAAGAGAATTCCATAGAAATATTCGTGGTCCAAATAATATAACTTTCCTAGGCATAAAATCTTACATGCTACTCCTTGTAGCAGCAAGAGTGGCACATTCAAATGATGAAGAGAAATAACACTACTTCAAAAGACTACCAACATTATCAAGGTATGCATTAGTAACAACACCCTGACATAAATACAAAAGCAAGGAATTATTAAACATCTGTACAGTCATTCAACAGTTTTTGGTACATGACATAACCGACAGATAGGATAGTTGTTCCTTGTTTCCTTTCTATACAACTTTTTTTCATCATAATCCCTCCCAAACTATAAACATTAACCATATCTTCAAAGGACTGGGAACAGCCAAAACAAAAGGTTGGCAAAAAAATAACAAATCCCAGACGGAGTCATCCTGCACAATCTGGTAAGAATGCTGCTATAGAAACTCAGTCCAGCAGTACACTACACCTTATTCTTCTCCACTGGTTTAATGACAATGGCTTCTCTACAAATCAACATACTGATTTCTGCTTCTTTACTTTTTTATCATTATTATGAACTATTAACATATTGGGTGTCCTTGGTCTTCTGCCACTGGTAACCAGGTTGCTCCTTCACTTTTAAACTACATTTTTTTTCCTTTTTCGATAATCAGCTTTGTACACCTTAAGATTAGCCATGCAACAGTTAGTACTCCTAGAACCCATTTATTATGGCTAGGAAACAAATAGTTAATCTTTCTCTAGCTTTTCTTCTGAATTGCCCTTTGGGCTCTCCATCAAATCACCTGAGTAAGAACCATCTGGTTGACGAATGCATATGTTCAAATTGCTTGAGAGAAAATGTTCCTGGAGGGTTTGCAGAGAGAAATAGTCAGACAAGCCCTTCAAAAGAAATGTCAAACAAAAGAATTAATTGATCAATGAACGTAGCTTTCAAATGAATAAAAAAAATCTAATCTGATGAAGCAAATTTTATATTGTGAACGAAAAATTAAACTAAAAGCAAAATTTGACATCAACGGTTGACTATCCTCAAAGCCATCTTAAAACTTCAATTTGCTTTTCGTTTGAGTCGTACATGCAAATAGACTATATGTTCAGGTCTGATCTGAACCATCAACCATGTGAACAGGTAAATTTAACACTGGCACCAGAAGGTTCAGATCCTCAAAGTTCTGCTAGTTAGACACTGAATTTCCCTGTTCCTTCTAATAAAGATACCAGGTTTGTATCAATTTCCCTGTTCACCTCCAACTTATTTTACTCAACATGAAAAACTTAGCATAAATTCTGATAATGGGCTGCACGCCTGCGCATCCTCCAAAACTTACAACAAACATATGGACTCAACATGAACTACTTCGTTTTCTAAATTCTTTACTAGTCCACCTCAAAAATATCTCTTCTCTAGGTGGTGTCTTGAACTTTTCCTTAAAGTATATCCTTCTGTCAAGTAAGTTCATGCAGTTCAGAGTCTGTCCCAACTTTGTGTTATTTAATAACATCCAGATAAAGAAATTATATAATTTTGTCTCAAGTTGAATTGTTGCAATCACTGATGTCAAGGTAACTAGCAAGCTTTGCTATTTTAACCTAAGGGGAAACATAACTTTATGCTAGCTAAGCTCAAGCCACAATGAAAACATAAACTAAGCTAGGGTTTTCGTCAAATTGGAGCCTTTATGTCCATCTTTGACCTGATCCATGTAGAAGTTGAAAGTGAAGATGTATGCAAAACCATATCTGATATCAAACCACTTTCCATTTTTTTAAGATTTGCAAGTCCACTACCGGAAAGAACTGTATGTTCAGCTAGCACTCTTTTAATTATTATAATCAATCAATAGTCAAAACATACCTGATCACCAATCTCTTGGCCTTCAGAATGAAACAGAATTGGCCGGCACCGCTTATCCTCATTCATTAGGCTTGAATTCTGAAAATGTGTCACAAGTGCACCCTTTCCCTGGATCCGTGCATATGCCAGGGAAGCAACTTTTTCACTGTTAAACTTCTCCCACTTCTTCCCATTAAATGCCTATACAAATTTTCATGATATGACTTAATAAAGTGGAAATGTACATCAGACCAGCACAAGTTTAATTACCAACAAAATTACCAGAAACAACTAAGTAAAATACTTTCTACCAATTAATATTTTTTTTTAAAAAAAGAAAATGATATTGGAAGAACTACGTGTTGGCATTTGTCCTCAAGATACTTCACATTAACGAAACACTAACTAAGAATCAGAAACTTCGCTTGTAGTCACACAAAAACATGACCTCAGACAAGCAAAAGTATGGAATTTAAACCTTGTAGAAGGGGATGATGTGTGATGGAGACACCATATTGATGAAAGCATAACCCACATTACATTTGTTCTGCAAGCAAAAACATTTTTAATGAAATTAGTCATTGTGGAGAATCTTGGTGGGATAAGGCTTAATTGTTTTTGTTGTCATAAGTCATTGTGGAGAATCACTTGTTATTCTCTTCAAGCAGGTGCATAGGATGTGTATACCTTAAAGTCAATTGGCAAGTAGAGAAAGTCATAACTACCCTTGTGATTCTCATCAATTGCAGCAAGCAGCATCTTCGAAGTGTACCTTAATCACAAAATACAAAAAGACATTAAGAAATTCGTCACTTGTCATTACACCACCCTATTCAAATTGCTAGTACAGTGATATCACTTCATTAAGACACTTGTTTAGCTCTTACTTGTTAGGAATGTTTTTAATCATTAAAGTAGTCCTTGTGTCTTCCCCACTCATAATTTTGTCTAGATCAAGCTGATACAGCTTCTTGCTATCAATTTGGTTCCCACTATTGTCAAGTCGCCTGCTTCGACCACGCTCAGCTCCCTCAGTGGTAGTACCTCCTAACCCAGAATATAAACCATTTCCAAGGAACAGGGAAGTGTGCCTGGGTAGTGACATCATTCTGAAATTGGGTGAACTCATTTCATTAGTATTTCCTGTAAGGCCAATACCAACACCTAGAGATGCATGAGCACCCATGTTCATCAGAATATTCCCATCACTGTGATTCATACTCCCAAATGCAACTGAGCTCTTGAGAGAAGTTTCAGGTGACTCTGGAAAGTAGCTAAAATGCCTGTCAAGAGGAAGGCCAGACGGAGCAGATCCAACATGATGATGTTGGTGAGAATCAAGAAAAGAACTATGCTGACTAGTATAAGGGAAACCCTGCCTTTGTCCACTAGACGTAAATGGAAGCCCCATGGAAGATGACCAGGCAGATGTGTTTGAATGCTCTGAGTAAGGAGTTGGACTTCCCCAAAGAAATTGAGGACCAGACAGTGTTCCAATACTTGACGAGCTTGAATTTGATTCACCAAAAGTGGTTATTGGCCTAGGACTTGCATTAATTTTTTGCTCGGGAAAGGACGTAGAATGCTGAAAAGCAGCTCCTTGTGACAATCCAGAGCTTGCAAATATCTGCTTTGCATTATTAGCCCTTCCAAGGTCCTTGCCAATTGGTGCAATCTTTGGAGAGCTTGATACATGTGGGGAAAGAATAGCAGCCAATCCAGGCAAATGGTTTGTATTCATAGGGCTGGCAAAATTCAAACCAGGGGATTTGCTAAAAGAACCTAGTGCGTTATGTTCAACTGGACTACCAAATTGTGCCCAGTTACCTGAGCAAAATTACCAACTAGTTTAGCTTTTAACAGAAGATACGTTTCTAAAATGACACAACTAGAATTATGCATGAGAAAGAAAACTGAATTCAGAGATAAGACATTTTACCAGGAGGAGAATTGCCAATAGGTGAACCCACTTGGTGTCTAAAAGTTCGAGTTTCATCTTGCTCCAGCTCTTGATTAAGTTGCTGCATCAAGCTAAAAGGAGAAAAAGTATGGCCAATTTTTTAAAGCCACAGTTATGCAGATATTACATTACCATTCACATAAGGACATATTACAGAATATTAGCCCAACCCAAACCATAGCAAAGAAAAATTAATGAGAAAAATGAAAACAAAAATGGTGTTGATTGACTTTAGGGTAGATTTGAACTATTTCACACTTTCTGAGTAACTTTCACAAGGTGTACATGTCAAAAACATATCTTAAGATTAAGAGTATAAACCTCATTGCATTAATAATGCTTCTAAAACACTATATTAATTCAAAACTTAAATGTTGTACCACTGTTACTTGAGAATAACAGCATATAGGTTTTAAATATGCAAGAATCAATCAACTGCTAAATGAAATGATCATTGATTCTCACTTCATTTAAAATGGGGCAAGCAAGCCAATAAAATGAAAGTATAGGATTCTCATTTTCTAAGCTGTTACTTGCAGGTTTTGTTGAAATCACTGTCCAAATCTCAATCATTAATCCATAAGTTCTAGGTTTTAAGCACTGCCACTATTTTTATAACATGCGATAAGTACTAACACACCAGATGAATAATAATGTTTACTGACAGGCAAACTGTTCATAACATAACAAACCATGATAAAGTTCAAATTACTTTCGACGTGCCCCACCAGGGCGGCTGGGTTCAAGTTTGATGCGTTTCCCAGCAATGTCACTTCGATTTAATGCTTTAAGAGCAGCCTCTGCTGCTCTAACATCATAAAATTCAATAAATTTATGGTGTCTCTTATGCGGTGTTTCCCTGATCTGCAATTTTAAAACCAAAAATTACAACTACTCCAGGTACTAGTTTAGATGCAAATTAAGATAATAAGAAAATACATTGAGATGCAGAGTTAAATATATAAATAATTAAAGGTTTACCTCTTTGACCTCACCATAAGCCCCAAATATTTGACGAAGGTCATCATTAGATACTGAGGGATCTAAATTGAAAACTACAAGCGTTCCTTGGTTAATATCCTTTTCTGAGGGGTTATCCTGAAACAAGCAGAAGAAAAGATGAATTTGGCAGAGAAAATATCAATGAAAATTAGTCAAACCTTAATTACAGCTATATATAACAAACCTTAGGAATTGAAAAATGAATATCAAGTTTTCTTCGTCTCAAGGGCTTGTTTTGTAAAGAACGCATTGCAGTGCGAGCAGCTCGAATGTCATAGTATGATATCATCACAAAGCCCCTATGCTTGCATGCAGTGTACAGTGTTCTGATGTCACCATATTGCTGTTGGGAGGGGGGTCAAAAAGAAAGAAAAAGAAACAAGGAATCAACATTAACGAAAGTGAAATAAACAGAAAAACAAGGAGCTTTTTGAGTTTTACACCAACCAAATATAAACTACATAGTTAAAAAGAACACTTTTTAAGCTCCAAACAAGAATTTTCTCTCAACAACCCTCCTAGATACAAGCTCAGAAAATCACTAAATTATAAAAAGGTAAGCCACAGCTCTGCATATATACATCAATAGGAATATGGCGAATTTCTACAAGTATATAGTTATAAATAAATTATTTTCAAATGAGATGTGTCACATTTCACAACACCCATAACAAATTATTGGGAGTTCAAATTAGAAATTAAAAGCACTTTGGGATTCACCATTCACTCTAGTGTGTGTGTGTGTATATATATATATATATATATATATATATATATATATATATATATAGATGAAGGCTGTGTTCCAAATCCCATCCCTAAGAACAAGCAAAAAGGGATAAAGAACTTAACAAATTTGATACCTTTTCAAATAACTTATTGACTCATTCAAACTTTCAAGAACCTAACAAATTCAAATGTTGACAAAGAAGCAACTTTTAAAGGATAGGCACAAACTTGCAAATCAGTAAATTAACAGAGTAAAAATGTAACTTTATTGAAACACTTAGCTAATTACAAGACATCAATTCAAAGACAGACTAAACAAGTAATTAAAAAGCAATAGCTTGATCACCAAAAACATTAAAAATTGAGTTCCAAGATAGCCATAACATTATTGAAGTCTTTGGTAATTTTGGTCTAAGTTAAATACCTCAAATAGAGATCTTAATTCAGAGTCCTCAACATTACTGTTGATGTTCCGCACAAATAATGTCCTTGATGGATGCTCTCCGTAAGGATGCTCCCCAGCCACTGTTCCCATGCCATTTGGAATTGCATAATGACCAATACCATTTGAATGAACTTCATCAGATAAGCTTATCTTTGATATACCAAGACTAAGGTTCTCTTGGGGCTCAAAATCCATTTCAAATCCCCCTCCACTGCCAAAAAGATCATTGTCATCCAGATCCTCCAGTTGGCTGGGCAACCCACTCAGGTCAAAATCATCCGTTATCCCAGCTAATAACTCATCAGCATCTGGAAGCATGTTCCCAATTGCACTTATTTCAACATGCCCAAGTGGATCTTGTCCCTCAACCTCTTTGTGACCTTTGTCTAATATTGGCAAGTTATCATCAACAGATTGACCGTAATGCTCTGAGTCGGAAATATTTACTGCATTTGGAGAATGAAAAGGAAACAGAAAAGGTCTCAAGCTCAACAGCCATTTCAAGTGATTATGATATCAGATATCATTAGCAGCATCTGAACTTACGCTTCTCGTGTGCAAGAACAGGAAGTGAACTACAAAACAAGCTAGCATCACTTGAACCATGAAATGCACCAGTCCCACCCGGTATTCCCCATGCACTGCTTCCCACTTTTTTGGCAACATTAAGCGAGAAAATCTCAGATGGACCTATAGAAATAGCTTAAAAGTTGATTAAAATTTTTTTTTGCGTCCATGCAAGTATGTATATAACTATATACTGCGCATGAAGTAAGAGGAAGCACCTGTAGCACCACGAGTCGGCATAGTATCCCCAGAATGTTTGTCCATCCACTCACTTTCTAATTACATTGAATAATGTAAGACCACAAAGAGTAAGACTTCTAATATCCATCATTTGAAAACAAAATAAAACCAGGAAACAACTAAAAAGCAATCATTTGTACATCTTATGAAGCAAATCATACAACCTCTATAACCATAACACGGTGTTGATCATCAACACACACTACTTCTATTGTTCGATAGCCTAAGCATTTTATAATACAGAGTCAACTTAAAGGACCAGTCCAAAATGACCCACTAAATTTAGTCAACTTGGCCAAGCCCCATAAGGGTAAAAATTATTACAATTAAAGTCAGATTATCCATAGCAACCACTAACCACAAAACTCCAAGGGCCAACCCTAATAATGGAGTTCCTCACCAAAAGCACATTTTTTTGGTGCGAAAATAGTGAAGAGTGAAGACCCACATGGTAGATAAACCGATCAAGTGCAGCAAAACTAAAATTCGAAACAAAACCTGAAATTTGAGTCGCCTCGAATGCTTGGTAAGCATTTAAGAAGAAAATAGAGTGAAAATGGGGGAAAAACAGAGAGGGAGAAAAGCAACACCTTACGGATTCATGGAGCAGAGTAAGCACGCGGTGATCAGGGAAATTGGAATGAGAAGGGCGCGTTTCGCGGAAGCAGAGAAGTTTATTTCTTTCACTCTTGTAATCCCTCGTGTGCTGCACAGCAAGAGTGACACAGATTTTCCCGGAAAATCTGAGACACCAAAGAAAATGAAAGAAAATGGTCGAAAATGATTGGAGGGAACAAGTACAAGTAGAACAAAATTATTGAGATACTACTATATGATTTTTTAAAAAATAAAATAATAAACAAAACTTATCATCTTTTTGTATTTTTTTTTAATTGTTTTTTCTCTGTCTCTACTATCAATTTGTGGCATATTAGAATTTTATTTGGGGTCCGTTGACACGCGTTCTTGTGTTCCAAGTTTTATCCCTCAAAACAAGAAAAAATCAAAAGAGTAAAAAAAATTACACATGGAATAGCATATCCTCCGGTTTATCCAAAAACAGGGATCTATTTTAAAAATATATTATCTAAATTCTAACAATTAATTATAAGAATTTTCAAAAAAATTCTATTTTTTTTATAACAAAAACAGATATAAAGAAAGGTATGTTAAATCCTGCCTGTAAAAAATGTGTTCCGAACAAAAAAAAAAATTTGTACCTAGCAAGATCTCACTAAATTAAAAATTTATTATCTAAACTTTTTAAAATCAGATAATACAATTTTCCTCTTTAATTTAACTTTAAATTTACCTTGTTGAATTAATTTAGCAAGGACAGAAAAATTGGAGACAGGTGGTGAGGCCCAATAAGGAGCGGAGGGAACGACAAGACCCACGTGCTTGCTTGTTGGGCAATGCAAAACGACAAAAAGCCCAAAAATCTATCCGGTGAGAATGATATGGGCCGAAGACATTAGGCCCATTAATGTCTTTCCCGCCACATATGCTGAAATTCCCGCCATCTCCCAGATATCGATATCAATCTCTTCATTTTCGATACCTTTGTTTCCCATTTCTCAAATTCAACTAATTTCAAAATTTCGGTTGCAAATGATTCCACAACAAGAGCATAATTTCAATCCCAATTATCTCAAACTATATTACGGTTAGTTATTTAGTTACTTCACTTTAAAAAAAAAATCTTTGTTTGAAATTAGCGTAATTTCCATTGCTTTGTACTGGATTTTAAGGTTTTCTCTTTTCTTCTCAATTTTCGCAGGAAAGCTGTTTCCTTATGCTGATTTAGTTAAATGGGTGTCTTATGGCAACGGTAACCTTTCCATTGGAATTTAATTATCGTCAAATGCATGTTCCTGAATTTTAATTTTAGTTAGTTTTTGTTTGAATTAATTGTAGATGGAAAGCACCCTGGTTGTGATCATTCCTACTTTGGGCGAAGAGAGTTTTCTTTCACTCTGGAGAATGATATATATCTGCGTTTCCAATCTTTCAACAATGCCCTTGAGCTCGAAAACTCCATCAAAGAAAAATCCCCTTTGAAGATAGATATTGGACCTGTCTACACTGTTGATGTAATATGTCCCCTTAGCTCCAAAATCACCTCCTACCTAGATTTCGTTGTTATTTTTTTTTCAAGCTTTTATAATTCATGCAGAAATAATGTAGTGTTTCTTCTTCATCAAACTTCATGTTATAATGAGATTTATATTTTGTCTAGTCACCTAATTTGTTCCTTATATTTGGTTCAGCCTGCAAAAAGGAATGCCTATGCACAGAGTGATAATAATGTCTTTGCTCCAGTTGAGCGGGAGTTGATTTTTGATATAGTAAGATTTTTTGAAAAATTTCAGTGTCCTAGTAAAACCTCTAGCTACTGTGTTGTTCTAAGCATTTGACACCTTTTTTTTTTTTTTTTCACTTTGGTGGTTCTGTAGGATATGACAGATTATGATGATGTTAGATACTGTTGCTCAGGTGCTGATGTTTGCTTGGATTGTTGGCCATTGATGACTATAGCTATTAAAGTGATTGATACTGCCTTAAGAGGTAGTATTTTGCATCTTATATGATTTTTTAATTAGATCATTAGTACTTCTCATGTATTCGGGTTAGAAAGAGGTCGTTCGCATTCATTTCAACTGTTGCGTTGAATTTTGCTCTGGGGCTACTGTTTCAGATGACTTTGGTTTCAAACACATTCTCTGGGTCTATAGTGGACGTAGAGGTGTTCATTGTTGGGTCTGTGATGGGAAGGCAAGAAGGTGAGGCACTAAAGAATCAAACATAATTTTTCCTATAGCTACTAGTGGCCGTACACAGGCATTAATTCAAATAGGTTTCCTTTACTCATACAGGTTGACTAATGAGCAAAGAGCTGCTATTGCTGACTATTTTCGTGTCTACAAGGTAGTATTCTTTAGTGATGACAAGTGGGTTTGCCAATCCTTGTTTAAGTGTGTGCTGATTTCATGTTCTATCCAGGGCAATGAAAATAGTTATAGGAAGGTTTCTTTGACGGGTGCTGCTCTCCATCCTTTCTTGGCGTAAGTCTTAATATAGAAGATTAATTTTCTGAACTAGGTTTCTTATTCATATCTTTACCAGTATTTTATTTTCCCAGGACATCATACACTAATATTCTCAATGACTATTTTGAGAAAAAACTGCTTACAAATCAAAATTTACTTGCTACTGAGGAGAGATATGAGAAGATCCTAAACATGATCCCTGATGAATGTACATATTTTTTTCTGCCCTCTGTTCATGCAAACCTTGTTATTTCATTTCCTGCCATTATCTTATATAATACATGAGTTACTTTTGCAGCTATTGCTTCCGAACTTAGGGGGAAATGGCAAGATAGTAGGCGGTCTTCTAATGCAAAAGAAGACATCAATATTGTTCGATGGGAACAGTGTAAACAGTTGCTTCAATCTGGAAAATATAAGGTATTATAAGATGCCTTTTAGGGAATGTTGAATATCAAGGTGACAATGGTCTTGAGCATGGACATTTGCCTAAACTCTTCTTATGACCTCCTACAGTAGTTGCATGCTCCGTTGTTCGTATAGAATGATTGTAAATTGTACGATTCATTGCTCGAAATTGTACAAGATTTGTCAAAACAAGCATGATTTGATATTGCTATTTATTACTAAAGGTTTCCTAATCCTTTTTGTATGCACAGGGACTGCGTAGGTGTGTTGAAGAGATTGTGTTCTTCTTTACTTATCCCAGGCTAGATATGGAGGTTCGTCTACCAACAGGCCCCTTTTCCCCCATATCCTGTTATCTTTCATGCTATTTTCATTTCTGCCCAGTCATATTGCCTGACAATATATTTCTATGAATAGAAGACCAATAACACCTTCTGACTAATAAGTTTAGTCTGAATTTTTGTTTATTAAGACTGTTTATTTTGTAGGTTTCTAAACATATGAATCATTTGCTTAAAGCACCATTCTGTGTACATCCAAAAACAGGTCAGTATCTAATATGTTTATGTACAATTTTTTATTGACATAATCTATTGAATTTTTTATGAGGCTTGAGCATTCACTGACAACATTATAATTATATGATATTATCTTTATCTTTTATTTTTTTAAAAAGAAAATTGAAACTATCATCTCCCCATTAAAATTGTTTGATAGATTTAGTATTACATGGTATTATTTGTCCTAGGTCGTGTTTGCGTCCCTATTGATCCTAATCGCTGTGACGAGTTTGATCCTACTACAGTAACCACCCTTTCACAGGTAAACTTATTTTGCAATCTGCATTCCAGGGAGAGGGAAGCTTCTCCTTGGTCCGAATCATTTCCATAGTTTTCAATAGGGATGTTTCTATTTATTATTTGGGAGTGTCAGGAACTTGCATAAAGACACTTGCACTTCCTTCTCCAATGCATTCTCATGTGGAAATGAAATATATCACCTTAGACATACCTAAAGTTGGTATGAATAGGCCAGTATTCCACTATTGTACCGCATCAGGTTACTGCTTTCTAGGAATTCCTGGACATTTCTTATGTTTGTGTGAATCTTGATATTGGGAGTTGTAACATTGCAGCTGATAGAAGAGCTTAATAACGAAGGCTCAAGAGCTGATGTTGATGGTGGTATGTTAATTTTATACTCGAACGATCAAAGTCTCCTTTTTGTTCAAAACTTCACATCGCCGTGTGTCTTTTAAAATGCCGTGGGAAAGGATATACCGGTTATTTATATTGATATGTTCCTTCCAGTGGTAATTGCAACATGGAGTCCAGTACTAATGAAAGTTATTTTAATACTTTGTTTGATAGCAGAATGGAATAGGACTTCCCTTGGAAATGCCATTACGCTCTTCAGATCTTCATTCTTACAGCCTTTACTAAAAACCTGCAAGGTATGTGGATCATTTTGTAAATTTTCGCCTCCACATTTTTTTCCATTAAAAAATTTATGCAATGTAGACACCTTGACACTAGTTTATTAAGCATTTGGAATAATCAATTCTATTTGAAAAAAGTAACATGAGAATGCCAGGAATGATGACTCATTTATAGTTTTTTTTGTTCCCTTGCAATGCACGTTCTTCAAAACACCGTTGTTGTTGCTGTTAATAATGTGATTCATAATTACAGATTCAGCTTTTAGCATACCTATCATAACTATTTTCAATAATGAATATTGCAGGAAGAGATAGAAAGTTCCTATAACTTAAAATTGCAGCAGTCTAAGAACTCCATTGGTTGGTAATACCACATTTCTTGATTGGTTGTGTAGAGCTTTCTGGAGGTCACCTAAGTTGACACAACCAAAGGATGAAATATTTGTAGTATTGTTGAATTATAAAGAAGCCTTTACCCTTTTTTGTATTTTCTTGCAACTACCTTTCTTCTTCTGGTGCTGAGAAAGGCAATTGATTTGAATCTTTCCATCCATCGTATAAATATTGGATCAAAAAGTTTAGCTTTTTTTTATGTTAAATTATTTCTTAAAATACCACTCGTTTGAGATCATTTCTCAAACTGCACTGAAATATAACACAATAGAAATCATCATGCTCAATCCTAACGTGTTTATATTTCAACGCATTTTGAGAAATAATTTCATTAGTGATATTTTGAGAAATAAATATAGAAAAAAGTCAGATATTTCCTCCAAATCCAGAAAATCTAAAGTGAGAGAGCAACCAGAGAATGACTCGTACTTTCCACAATTGACAGAGAAAATGGCCCACATTTTCGCTGGTTCATGT